CAGCCCCGTGGGACACTGGCAGCTCGCAGGCGTGTGGGAGTGTGGTGGGCGCTCGGTCTGTCTCCGCGCACAGGCTTCGGGGCGGTCGCGCGCTGTGCCGGGGCCTCCGCGCCTCCGTGCGCGCCCCCTTCCGCGGGACCGGGCCGGCTGCGGCAGGCGGGGCTGGCGGGGGTGGGGGTCCCGGGGCTCCCGACCCAGGACGCGGATCGGTGCTCCTGGGCCCCGGGCGCCGTGGGCGGGGATGTGTGAGCCGAGGGGACGGAGATGAAAAAACGGGGGTCCTCGGGGAACTTTCTGGGGGGATTGGGGTGAGGGAGGGCCTGGGAGCGCTTGGACCGGAGCCTGCAGCCCGTGGGAGCATTTGGAGGGGTTGAGCAGGAGAGTGAGGTGATTCTGTCACTTTTGTTCTTGCTTTTTTAAAAGTTCGTCGTAAAAAATGTGAACTTGCATGTAAAGAAAGAAGGTAAAAAATCACCGGCAATCCTAGTCCTGTGCAGATATGTGTCTAAGGTCACATTTTTAGAAACGGCTTTTTGATGCAGCAGTCAATCTTCCTGTCTCCTAAGCCTATTTCTGAGTATTCGTTTTTAAGAGCTCAATAATCGTTTTAGTTGATGGCACGGGAGGGCGGCAGTGTCCACAACCAAACCCTCTCTATAGGCCCTTGCGCTCCATCTGGTTTTTCCCGGAGGTCCAAGACCGGGCAGCTCATTTCCCAGCACACGCCCTTTTGTTCTCTCCAGCACTGAGGATTTCCCCTGAGTTATCGTGGCCGATTAATATGTGCAAAACGGCACTGCTTTGTTCTCATTGGCGTTTCTTTGTTGAATCATTTATCCTGTGGAGGGGCTGTGTGTATCCTTAGCCCTTGCCCACCATGTCAGAGGCCCAGCCCAATTCCATTGCCCCCTTTCCGCCCGGGGGACTGGGAGCATTCCTCTCCGGGCAGGGCACTCCCTGCATCCTGGGAGCTGCTCACACCTCCATCTCCCCCCAGGGCCCCTAGTACTGATTGGCTTGCACTTGGATGGTGTCTCATTCCGGCACTCCTGGCATGCAGAAATTTTCACCTTTACCATCACTGAGCCCCCCGTCTCCCGTCTCTCTGCCCCCTTCTTTCTTCACTTCTTCCCTCTCACTTCGTTACTACGCCAGCCACTCTCCTTGCCTAATTGTCCTGTCAAAACCCCAGCTCTGGAAGAATGAGCTGGCTACACCCGATCTGCTGCTGGAGAAAAGCATACACCTACCCACACTTAGTGACAAGATAGTAGGCTCTTTGCATCTACAGTCATCAGATGAGATTGGTTTATGATTTTATTTTGTGTAATTTCCCCAGTTACCACATCAGTTATGTTTTGTTTTTTGAGTAAAATGGAGAAGCTTTACACTACTGTATAGTTTAAAGAGCATGAGAATTATTCTTTGGTCTGACAGAGCTGGCTCATAAAACCATATAGATTAGGAGCCTCACATGGGATAGTTTTGATCACTTTGTTGCTTCTATGGATATTGGCAAGAATGCTTCCTTAAAAATTTACCCACTCTTATGCCAGGGACGTGACTAATCACAACAGAAACCTGATCAAATACAGTGATGCCAACCAGAATGCCATACTGGTACACATCAGCCAGAAAACAGCACTGCTTTTTAGTCTGTCTAGGCTTTCTTACTTTTTTTTTTTTTAATATATTTTTATTGATTTTAGAGGGCGGGGGAGAGAGAGAGATAGAAACATCAATGATGAGAGAGAATCATTGATCGGCTCCTCCTGAATGCCCCTGCTGGGGATTGAGCCTGCAACCTTGACTGAAATCGAACCCGGGACCCTTCAGTCTACAGGCTGATGCTCTATCCACTGAGCCAAACCAGCTAGGGCAAGGCTTTCTTACTTTTGAATTAAGTTTTGGCAATTTATATTTTTTTTATAAAATCATCCATTTAATAAAGATTTTAAAAATTTAGTGCAGTCTTAGAGTTTTGTACAACATTTTTTTATTTATTTGCCAAATTGAAAATATATTTGCATACTTTGTGCCCTTTCCCTTCAAGTTCAGTTCTCTCCAAGCTTCTTGGAAATATGAATTAGAGCTGTTTTCTTGAAACACTTTCACATGTTTGGGGGAATGTGTGGTTTTATAGAGGAACAGTTCTGCTTTTCATTTTGTCTTGATTACTAAATATTGTCTACATTTTGGTCCTCAAGAAAGAGATCAATATTTATCTAATACTGAGATTTGAGATTGTCAGAGATAACATTCACATCTTTGTGTCCGTAGCAGAAGGCCAGATTTCATTTTGGGAGATCGGGTCCCAGGGGCCACAAAGTACGGGGTGGGGCTTTCAGGAAGACAACCAAAGTGCATCCACGGCTTTGCCCAGTGGTTTTGTTCCAGCGGCCCCACTCTCCTCTGAGAGCTCCCAGAGCTGTTCAGAGGGTTGAGCTTTGTGGCTCATGGGTTGCGCAGTGCCTGTTCTGGTCTGCACTTCCTGCTGCTTTGACTTTGGGAGGTGTCCCTGTCTAGCCAGAGCTCCAATGCTAGAAGACAGGGTGCTACCCATGAGGCCACATGACAGGACATTTAATTGCTGTGCTGATCATAATTCTCTCTCCCTTTTTGTGACAATTCGGTGTTTGCAAGGCACTTCTCTGAGTGAATGGTGGAAGGAAATGCCTGGGGCGGGGGGGGGCCAGTAACTTCCCTGGGTTCTAAAGCTGTCTCCTGAATCCCTTTGCACTCTGAGAGATGCAATTCAGCGATTGTCTTCTCATCCTTCGTCTTTTTCCTGATGTGTATGGTGCTTTAGACTACTTCTCAAACTCTGACATGCATATGAATCACCTGGGCATCTTGTTAAAGTCATATTCTGATTCAGCAGGCCTGGGGTGGGGCCTGAGATTCTGCATTTCTGACAGTCTCCTAGCTGATGCCCAGGCTGCCAGTCCATCCCCTCACTTTGAGTAGTAAGGAGCTAGAGCTTATGGGGTGCATGGCCTGTGCTATATCCTGGAAAATACCTGTTCAATATTATTAAATACTCGTTTTTCATGTGGGAAACAGATGCGAAGAAGTGAAGCAATTAGCTCAAAAGTTCAAGCAAATAAGCATTAGGATTAGTGCTACGATTAGTCTTTCTTTTCAGAGTAACCTCTGAGAAGTTGTTGAGTGCCAGGTACTATGCCAGGTGCTGGAGTATCCGTCCAACCAGGGAAATAGGGTACATTCTCCCCCAAACTGGGCCTCCCTCTCCCATGGTGTAGGATTTCTGTGCAACCATTAATAGTAGCATCACTGCCCGGATCCTGGAGGGGCATGTGGGTGACTCAGAGAAGGCTGCCCTGCTGTTACCAGCTCCTGGTACCGGAGGCACCTGCCTGCTATGAGCTCTGGCCCTCCTTTGGCCATTCTAAAAATTCCGCCGTGGGTATTCTGGGATGGCTGACATCCGGGCCCTCTTCTCTGAACAGGCTGAAAGAAGTGTGACTGAAAGTAGGTCAGAGCAGAGGCAGTAATGGGGTGCTGACCATGCTCCGTGAACCCTCCTGCCTCTGCTAAGAGGTAGCATGTGGGGGTGAGGCGGGGTGGCCCTCCAGGAGGCTTGGAACTGTCCTCTGCCTCTTCTAATGGCCATCCTGCTCCTTCTCTGCCCTCTCAGGGAAAGGGGCTTTTTGCCACACAGCTGATCCGGAAGGGGGAGACCATCTTTGTAGAACGGCCCCTGGTGGCTGCACAGTTTCTCTGGAATGCACTTTATCGCTACCGAGGTGAGCACATCCCATGCCTCATGGCTGCTGGCCCAGCTGCCTCTGTGCATGGAGAGAGCTGCATACTCCCTACTGGTGGGTGTCCCTGGGATGTTAGGAGGAAAGGCTGTCTTCCCTTGGAGAACTGCCCGAGAACACTGTCTCCTCTCAGGCTGTTGGGGGCTGTGAGCCTGTAGGAAAGAGGCTCTTCCGAAGTGCTCCCTGGGGGAGGGCTGTCACTCGGGTGGAACTCAGAGTCCACCCTAATAACATAAGGGACTGGATGTCATGCTGAAGGGCTCCGTGCCAAAGTGGAGCCTTCTGCCCAGAGGCCACATGCCCCTTGGTGAAAAGGCTGCATTAAGGGTCAGAAACCAGCCACATGCTCCCCCCCCCCCCCCCACACACACACTCTTTTCTTAGGCCAGAGATAAACTGTGGAAGGAGGGTCACTTTTTTCCCAAATGTGGGGAAAGCCCAGTCTGGGGGAAGGGATGGGAGCCCCACAGACTAAGTCCCATTGAGAAGCAGGGTGCCTGTGACAGGTAGGGTGGGGACTCCAGAGAGGGAAGAGGTTAATCCTCTACTTTTGAATGCATATGAAATCCATTCCTTCATTTCATTCTTTAACGTATTCATTTCCTCACTTTCTAAACATTGTGAGCATCCACTCTGTGCCCGGCACTATTCTAGCCCTGGGATACTGCTGTGAAAATGACAAGTGTGGACCCTGCTCTCGAGACACTGTCATGTCTGGCTCTCTCCCTCAGCCTGTGACCACTGCCTGCGGGCACTGGAGAAGGCAGAGGAGAATGCCCGGAGGCTGACGGGGAAACCCGGCCAGGTGCTGCCTCACCCTGAGCTGTGCACTGTGCGCAAGGACCTCCACCAGAACTGTCCCCACTGCCAGGTGAGTGTCCCTGGGGAGGGTACCGGACAGGGACTGCTGGAAGACACCTTAGCTGAAGTCCTCTCTGGGGAGTCAGCAGCGAAGACGGACCTGGTCACAGCCCTTGAGAACCACAATGTAGGATAAGACATTGAAAGGCTCAGCTGCTGTTGCAGTTTCATCCTCTTGTTCCAGTCCCATTGTCTAAATAGGCTGGATGGGAGCTAGTCCTCTTCCTAAGATCCTGGGGGGCTCTCCCCTCTACCTGCTAAGCTCTCTTTGTTTCCATGGTTTTACAAGCCTGGGTTAGTAGGGGACCCCTCCTGTGCCCCCAGAGCACTGTATGCTTTCTCGTGTCACAGTACCCTGGGCCTCTGCTCAGGGGCTGTTTGTGGAAGGAATGCAGTTAGAGGAGGTGAGTACCACCTGGGACATCTGTGCTTCACCAGCCTGAGGTGCTGACCTCCACCCTCCCACAGGTGATGTACTGCAGTGCAGAATGTCGGCTGGCAGCTGCTGAGCAATACCATCGGGTCCTGTGCCCAGGCCCCTCCCAGGATGACCCCCTGCATCCTCTCAATAAGCTGCAGGAGGCATGGAGGTAGGTGGCATTTCATCTCTTCTTTCCTTTACCCCTCCCTCCCCTGCCTCCCTGCCTGGCTCAGCAGATGCAGCCATTTTTCTTAAGTTACCATCTCCCAGAATTCCCCCACCCTATTCTTACAGAGGTCACATTACCCAGCCCCCTGCCTTTTGTTTGAGCTGCCTGTCCCACCGTCCTCAACATTTTACACTTTCGCATTAAGCCTATAGGAATGTAAAGTCCTGTCCAAGCCCTTGCCGATGACTGTCTCTCTTCAGTCTGTAGCAGTCAGACTGGACTTCCTTGAAAACAGCTACTTGGAGGGAATTCATGGGCCAAACCTTTTTCTTTCTCCCCAGGAGTGTCCACTACCCCCCTGAGACTGCTAGCATCATGCTGATGGCCCGGATGGTGGCCACAGTGAAGCAGGTGAGCCCACCTGACCCTTGCAGGGAAGCGGAAAAGGCTTCATTCAACCCTCGGCCTCAGTCTCCTGCTGAGATGCAGCGTTCCTCTGGGCTTTCTAAGGGAAGCTGCTTCCTACGGAAACCTTAGGGGTTGATAACCGTACATCTGCAGGGGGAGTGGGCACTCATCTGGCCTACAGCCTCTGACCTCTGAGAGGACATTCTTGTGCAGCAGCAATTCATGCATTGGGTTTGTAAGCACCACTTTTTTAGGGTTGTGTCTCTTACATAAGTGAGAGAAGCCATGCTAACCCCTCCTATTACTATGGTTGCTCAGTGTTGAATTGGCTAGATTGGCCCAAGCTGGGGGAGATAGCTGGGGATATACAGAGTCGGAAAGAAGTCCTAGGTCAAGGGAAGGGTCTACCTGGAAGCTCAGGTGTGATGCAGGGGCGACAGTGGCAGTAAGGATGTGGTGTCTGAGTCCATGTGTGCACATGCACGCACAGGGGTGTGTGGTGTGACCTGAAACATCTGTTCACTGCAGGCTAAGGACAAGGATCGCTGGATCAGGCTCTTCTCCCAGTTCTGTAATAAAACGGCCAATGAGGAGGAAGAAATTGTCCACAAACTCTTGGGGGACAAATTCAAGGTTGGTCTTTTCCCATGTCCCCTCCACCCCAATAGCTTGAAATATTCTGTGACTTCCTGAGAGAGCTCCACATTTGGTCCCTTCCTAGTGAAAAATCTATTCAGAGGACTTAACATTCCTGCCATTATTTAACTTCATGGCCTAATGTGGACCCCAAACTGGGAAGTGGGATAATGACAGAGGAAGGAGGGGTGCCCTGATATGATAGGACAGCAGTGGGTGTATCAGGTATAATGAAAGATGGAGGGTTGGGGGTCCACAGGGTCAGGGAGCAGTAAGTACCCACTGCCAATCAAAGAATTACAAAATCTGAGGCCAGTGGAGGCAGATGTGTGAAAAGGCATCTGGGGTGGGTCTTCCTGCATTGAGTTCTGAGGAAAGGGTGGAGGGGGAGAGTCGGGCTGGTCTGGAGGCTAGTTAGGGGTGGCTGGAGGTTGGTGGTGAGAACAGGTGTTCGAAGCCAGGCTTCCTTGGCCCTGCTGGCAATGAGGGCTGGAAAACAGGGAGGGATTGGGGTTTGCCACTCTGATTTGAAGTAGACCAGTGGACTGCCGTGGCTCTTTGCAAATAAGGACTGTGGCCTTCCTTTGCCCCCAGGGAAAGCTCAGTCTACAGAGCTGGCCCTTTTCCTTCCCTCACAAGGTCGTCTGGGCCCTGCCTGGGTGCTGATGGGAAATCCTCAGGGATGCAAGTGTCTCCCTGTTTTTCCTAAACCAGGGCCAACTGGAGCTTCTGCGGAGACTCTTCACAGAGGCCCTTTATGAGGAAGCACTCAGCCAGGTGAGTGTGAGGAGTTGGGACAGTGTCTTCCCCAGCCACTCCAGCTCTCCAGGGGCAACTGGGTCAGCCAAGCGACTGCTGACTTGGTCTTCGGGAGTTGGGCTGGGACTGACTCACAGAAGACTGTCTGAACATAGAGTTGTATCAGGAAGAAAAACAAGTGGCTGGAACCTGAGTGCTCATCTCTCTTTTCTCCCCCGCAGTGGTTCACTCCAGATGGATTCCGGTCTCTCTTTGCTCTTGTTGGGACCAATGGCCAAGGAATTGGGACCAGGTTAGGAGACACTGTTCCAGATACTTTGGACTTGTCCCTTGGGGCTTGGGTGGGAAATGGACTAAGGAAGGTAGCCACAGCTCCCTTCAAGACTAGGTGGGACAGGGTGCAACTCTGTGGCCAGAGTGCTACATTGCACATAGTGATGGGGGGTCAGAAAGACTGAGCTGGTGGAGTCTGCTCCGATTGGGATTCTTGGTCTGTGGGGAAGATGGGGCCCCCACCCTGGAGAAAGGAATGGGTTTAACTTGCCTGGAGGTGGAGAGCCCTGTTAGCTGGGCCTCCTGCTCTTCAACCACCGCTGCCTGGGACCCCCAGCTCCCTGAGCCAGTGGGTCCATGCCTGTGACGCTCTGGAGCTGAAGCCACAGGACCGCGAGCAGCTGGATGCTTTCATTGACCAGCTGTACAAGGACATCGAGGCAGGTGGGTGAAATGGAGACACCACCCCCCCACCCCCCACACCCGTGGTCAAATAGTGGACACAGCTTTCCCCAGGGACCTCTGAGTTGATGGGGGACAGAATCCTGTGTGCCTGTGGGAAGCTTCAGATCTGTCTGAGGGACACTCAGATGAGAAATGGGCCTGAGATCTGTGCAAAGGCTCAATGCTGGGGGGTGGGGGAGTGCTGGACAAATAGAGCGCTATCATTTACAGAAAAGCAAGGCTCATGCCTCAGAGATGTAAGTTCAGGTGAAATGGTCGGGATCAGCTGCATTCGTGTGGTAGGGGGGCAGGACGGTGAGGCAGTGCCTTTCCTTATAAACCTAGTTTCCTTTTCCCTATAAAATGGGTAGAATAACACCTGCATATTACTTCTTACAGCAACTGGCGAGTTCCTTAACTGTGAAGGATCAGGCCTCTTTGTGCTCCAGAGCTGCTGTGAGTCCTGACATTGAGGAGCGGTGCCCTCGTAGTCACAGTTCATCTCTTTTGTTTCGCTCCTTCTAGGCTGATGGGGTTGAGTCTGGGAGTGGGGTTAGATCTGAGCTTCCCTTGGAGATTCCTCTGGTCCTTTTTGGTCCATCAGTTTTTCATTCATTCATTCATTGGATTGCTGGTGCCTTAATATATGTTTATATATAAAAACTCGCAGTGGGTCAGGCCCTGTGCTCTGCAGGGCACTGAGCTCTGATTTTCTCAAGGGAAGCATGAGCTGTGCACCACCACTGCCCTGCGAAATTTGGCAGGGACGTGTGGTGAGCGCCTGGGAGCCCTCAGGAGCCGGGGAGGAGGGAACTCAGGCTAGCAGGCCGTCCCCACCTGCTGGGAAGGGGTAGTGCGCTCAGACTATTGTCTGTTCTAGCTCCCAGCCTCCCACCCTCTAGTTTCCTCACTGCAAATCCTCTTCCCAGGTTCCAGAGCCACGCTACCCTCCCAAACTAGGCTCTCAGAGGGCTGGGCTCACCTGCTACCAGATGACCAGTAGCAGACAGGACTGAGTTAGTGGTCTGGCACGGGCAGCCCTTTCAGAGCCCTGTCCCTCTTTTGTGAGACACTGGGAACACAACTGAGAGTCAGGGTGGCCAGTGAGGAGGAAAGCAGGGGCAGACATGGAGGTGGGAGAGGGAGCGATGTGGGATACACTTGTGTCTCAATGGTCTCAGGAAAGAGCACTGGACAGGGAGTCAGGAAACCTGAGTTCCAGGATCTGCACAGCCCCAGATAGATCCCATCCTTCCAGAAAACAAGGAAGGATGGGACCTAGTGCTCTGCAGAGTTGAGTCAGCAATCCTCATTACCTGCCTCTCCTGACCCAGGCAACCACAGCTGTGTCCCCAATGCAGAGACCTCCTTCCCAGAAAACAACTTCCTTTTGCATGTCACCGCCCTGGAGGATATTAAGCCAGGAGAGGTGAGGGGGCCGGGAGCTGTGGGGAGCATGGGGGGTGGGGTGGCAGTGGGCCTTGCAAGTTCTCTAGAGATTGGGAGTGGCAGTGGCTAGGGCCTTAAGTTCAGGCTGTTGAATTGAACCCCCCACACCCCAGGGCATGAGTCTTTTTGCCCCTGGATATGCTCTAACCCCACCATTAAAAAATTACTCCAGAAAGCCTCAGAGCGGTGTTTGAGAAACAGCCGTGTGCCAGGTTCTTGTCCCCAGCTACCTTGTGAGAAAGGACTGCAACTTCTAAGAAAGCAGGAGATGGCTCTGTGGCTTGGACTATGGGGAGCTAGTGTGGGTTTGGGGTCCTGGTTGTCAGTGCTGCACAGTCTGGTTGAACCTTCCAGGACAAGTTGCATCTCACCAAGATAACCTCTAAACCCGGCCACTGATCTTGCCCTTAATGCCTTTAAGCCTGGCCTGAGGCTCACTGCAGTCCCCTCTCTGCCTCATATGTAGATTGTTAGAGCCTTGTAGTGACCTGCTTGCTGAGGACACAGAGGAATGGATCGGGGCAGCCCACCCCTTCACTGAAGGGCAGCTCAGGCCCTTGGGGATGGAGCAGAAGTTGGAGATAGAGTAGTGATTGGGGAGTCCCTCATCCCATCTAATAGCACAGACTGTCGGACCCCACTTCTCCTCTGCCTTCCAGGAAATCTGTATCAGCTACTTAGACTGCTGCCAGCGGGAGCGCAGCCGCCACAGCCGCCACAAGATCCTCAGGTGCCTGCTGGGGACGAGGTGGGCAGCTGGGCTCAGATCCTCTATCCCAGGGGCTGCCTGACGTTTCGCCCTCACCATCCCCCCATCCGCTGCAGGGAGAACTATCTGTTTGTCTGTTCCTGCCCCAAATGCCTGGCAGAAGCTGATGAACCCAACGTGACCTCAGAGGAGGAGGATGAAGAGGAGGAAGAAGGAGAGGCAGAAGATGCAGAGCTGGGGGACGAGATGACCGATGTGTGATGTCACCATGCCTGGAAGGGGCCCTACCCCAGACTCTGCCAGAAAATGGGGCCTTCCCCCAGAGAAGAGGCTAGGAAGGAACTCCCCACTCCCATTGCCTGCTTTCCCCCCATTCCAGCTGTTTCTGCCAGAGGGCAGGACAGAGGCTGGACCCTGGCCCTCCACTCCCCACCAGACCTCATGCCCTGGACACTGCTGCTGAGTGGCTCGGGTTCTGCGCTGTGGCTGAGCCTTTCAGAATTGGCCTCCTGATGTACTCCATTCCAGAGTGTGAGCGGCTGGAACCAAGGTCAGGGCCTAACAGTATTTCTTCCCCTTTGGCCCCATGCCTGCACCTTCCCATCCATCTGAGGCCTCACCCCTCTCTACTTGCTATTGAGGGGGTACAAAGTGGCAGTCTGAGAACAGCCTTACTTTATTGAAGAAGAAAGAAGAGGGGGTGCATTGCCCTCACCTTCCCCACTTCCCATCGTTGTAGTTTATAAGGGCAACTGCCTGACTACTACTAGCACAGCTGGGTGAGGCAGGAAAGGAACTGGGCCTCCAGAACACTTTCCCTAAGGCTCTGCCAGGAAACACTGAGCCAGGGGAATTACCTTCCTCTCCTTGGACATCTGGGGGAGTGGAGACTAACTCCTTCCCCAAACTCCAGAATCTCTATTTTGTGCCTTGCCTTTCAGGCCCTGGCACAGTGGCTGGCCCCACAGGGTACGGAAAAGGCTTCTGCTTCCCTCAGAAGGGGCGTGTGGGTGATCATTACCCCTTCCTCACACCACTTCCCATTGAAGACTCTAGCAGCATGGCTGAGACCTGGGGGTGACAGGCCTGTGCTCCTTAGGATGCTCCAAATTGTTCCCTGGGACCAGTTGAATATGGGTCAGTTAGGGGCTCTCCTGGCCTCAATCCATCTTTAGGGTCTCCGCAGAGGAACATTGAAGTCTTCCAGAAACCTAGAAGAGCTGGGTTAGATACTCGGAGATTAGCCCTGACTGTATCCTCCAACCCCAAATTAGCAGTACCCCTCACTCTTGTGTTGGAAGCTGTAGGAATTATAACCCATCACCTGCGATTCCTTTCTGCCTACCTTCCCTAAGGGGTCTTCACATCCCCCTGCTAAGGGATCCTACGAAGACAGGTGCCTGCCCACAGGCCCTTCCCTGGATTATGAGCCAGGTGGAGCCTTTCTGTCTGGCCTATTGGGTTCTTGCTCCTTCACAGCAGCCAGCATCCCCTCCTATCCCCGCCTGCCCACTCTTCTCAATAAAATGTGAGTGGTGACAGGCTCTGAAGGCATGCTTGGTGGAGAATGACTTGACAAGCTGCTGGAGCACGCAGCAGTCGTGGGTGGTGAAAAGGCTTGAAAGGTAGACCAGATAATGGCAGGAGGTGGGAGCTCTAGCTCCCCAGTTTAGGCTCATCTCTGGTCTCACCTACACTCCGCTTTGCTGATGTTCTAAACCCCCAGAGCAAGGATCCTCCATGGGCAAGCATGGTTCCCCAGCACTAGGCAGCAAGATGATCCTTCTCCCCAGGGACTATGGCTCCTAAGATCTTAGGCAGGAGGCTGTGTTGGGATCCAAGATTAGCGATCTGAGTAGTGGTCCTAAAAGACCTTGGACAAGTCATTTATTGTCTCTGGGCCTCAATCTCCTCCCCTCAACACAAGGGCATGGGGCCAGATGGGTGAGTTTGAAGGCCCTCCCACCCATGAGCTCTTATTCTAGGACACAGTTGCAACCCTGATGAGAGGCTTTATTGCTAAAAGTCAGTGAGGGTTTATTAAGTCCTCAAACACCAGCTCCTTAAACCACCCCAGTAACTGCTGTGAAGGACACAAGAGACCCTGGGTCGGGGAGGCTGGAGCCAGGTGAGAGGTGACAGGTCACGGATGGCTTTCAGGCCACCTGCCTTTAGCCCCTTTTGTTCCAGATTCTAGTCAAGAAGCCCTGAGGCATGTTTCTTGCATCTTCCCATAACATGGGACACCCTTGGGGGCCCTGGGGAAGGGAGAACAGTGGTGTGACTTCCCTTAGCCTAGCAAAGGTGCAAGCCTTTTTCCTCTACCTGGCTCCACCTATCCCCAAATGCTATCTCCAAGTCCCAAACAGCAGAATTTCTGGATTTCCCCTTCCCAGCCTAGAGCTGGCTGGAAGGTGGAACCAACTCTTCTACCAGAAGGTCCAGGGTGGTTGCAGCAGCTCAAAGGTGGGGATGCTGGTGACATTGACTGGAATGGAAATGATGGCCCATGGCAGCCCATGCTGTTCCAGGGAGCGGCGGATCATGTAGCTGGGAGGGCATGAAGAGAGGTGGGGATGGTCACTTTCTCAGCACCCCATCATGCCCCACTGTCCCCATCACTGGGAGTTCCATCCAGAGCCCAAGGACTTTTGACCCTCCAACTGGTTCACCCCAAGATGAGGCTTGTGGGGGGGACTGGTGATTGCCCTTGACCTCCAGAGACAAGGAGCCCTCACCCATCTCGGCCGAGTAGGAAGAGGGCAGGGATGTCAGCCGTGCGCTGGGTACTGTCCTGGATCATCTCCACGTAGAAGCTGTCATTGTCAACTGCGTTGTCAGAGATGATCACTGCCCGCCCGCCATGTTCCTGTACCACCCGGGTCTTGGAGAGGAAGGAGCAGCCCCTGGAAAAGGTGATGAGATCAAAGGAAAGGCAGGGTCTTAGCTACCCCTCCCCTAGGCCATCACCCTAGGAGGATGAAAGGACCATGGACAATTTTTCATAAAGGCTCATAAATAAATGGCCAAAAAGCATGGATAACCTTAAAGAGACTTAAAATGATGAGTTATTTAAAAAATATTTCAAAGGACCACCACCATCATTGATCTTAGGAGCTTTCCTATTCCTGCCCTTCCCTTGCGCCAGTGCCTGTCCACTCCTCACCCCCTCTCCACCAGAGCGATCTGGTCCTGGATGAAGAAACCGTTGCTGAGTTCTCCACAGGCCTCTGAAGGTTCCGCAGGGACAAGGTGAATCTGCTCATACCTTGTGTGCTGAAAGACATTTAGACAGGTCGACGTGTGAGGAGACGCACCTGCTTTAGGACCAGGCTGACATCCTATCCATCCGTTCCTCACAAGGTGTGAAGAAAAGGTGTGGAGTGGTTTCTGTATGCTGGGTACTTCATTCTCACAAAATAGTTGTCCTATCCCTTTCCAGGAGACAGGCAAGGGCGTTCAACGGACCCAGAATGATGAAGTAACATGCCTTAAGTTATATCATTCAGAGGTAGAGCTAGCAGGGCCCTTGGTTTTTCACTGTTTCATGTTTCCAAGGACAACTGGTCCCTCCATGGTGCCCAGGGAAGTAACTGGAAGCCCTTCCTTCCTGCATTGCAGCCCCTGCACTGCTCCCTTCCATGTCCCAGCACTCCAGTATTGGTTGGAGGGAGGAGAGGGATCACCTCAGCTTAGTGGGGAGAAGATGGCGACAGGATCATAGAGGAGGGATCCTCCCCAAACTTACAAAGATGCCACCAAAATCCTTTGCAGGTGTAGCTGTGAAAATGTATCGAATGTCTCCAGGACTCAGCACTTGGAAGTACAAATAATCATGGATGCGTAAGCCTGAAAAGTAAAAAGTACAGATGAGAAGCCTCCATGGACCTGTGTCTGCAAGTAGGCTGTCTATAGTCAGGGCCTCAGGACCCAGTTTCAGCCAAGTGGGTCCTCCAGGTGGGTGAGACAGGTGGTCCCTGCCTTGAGGAGGATAGAGTTGATACAGAGTTAGTAAATGTTAGTACAGGCAGATTTATAAGTGCTGCTGCTTGCAAAGGTGAGCCAGGAAGACTGAGCTCTACTGTGATCTCTGAGGGTTAATCTGTCTTTGCTAGGAAGTGGGCCTGAGCGTTTCCAGGTGAAGATGTGTTAGTTTGGGTACAAAACACTCTATTAAAACTGAAAAGTTGACTCCCTGGTCCCACTGCCATCCTCCTGGGCCACGACTATCATTTCTTGTCCTGACTAGTCTACCTTCTTCCCTTTTTGCTCTCTAAGGTCCATTCCCCAAACAACAGCCAAGGATATTCTTAAAACATCTTAAAGCATATATGATCATGTCACCGCTCCCATGGCTTCAATACCCATCAACAGCTTCCCTTTGCACTTAAAATCTAAACTCAACTATGGCCTGCAAGGCCCTGCTCTATCTGGCCATTGGCTGCTACTCCGACCTTATTTCCTTCCTCTGTTCAAGCTACACTGGACTCCTTTCAGTTTCTTCACTCTGAGTCTTCTTGCAAGCTGTTCTCTGTAGGAGGCTTTCTACCCTCACCTCACCCCACCTCTACCTCTTTACCTGGCTTACTCCTACTCATCTATTAGGTCATAGCTTAAAAGTCACTTTCGCAGAGAAATCAGCTCTATGACTGCTCTCCTTTTATGCCCATTCAAAATATACTTTTTCTCCATTGATACTTCCAATATAATTTGTAATTCTAGAGTATTCATAATTTTTTGTTTAATGTCTGTCTCCTCCACTACAGCAAGGACCATAAGTTTATAGCTTCATTCCATGCTGTATCCACATTACCTAACACAGTGGCTAGGATATAGTGGGTGCACAATAAGGGTTGTTGAATGAACAGCTATTTCCAGCTCCACTGCACTGAGGAAGAGAATTGCCAGAACCAGGTTTTTCTGGGGTGTGGGAACTTCTTTTTAGCACCAAAGTGTAATGTTTCACCTAAACTTGAGCCTCTGGTTTCCTTAGCGCACTGAGACTGAGGAATGCAGAAGGGTGAGAGCTGCGGCCACGGGTCCATCAGTCAATCAACAAACCACCAAACCACTACTGTGTGCCGGGGTGGGACTGACTGGCTTTGGTTGTCCTTGTTTACTGCCCAAATCAGCCACCAGGTAGAGCCCCACTGCCTTGGCACTGGGCTATGCATCCTTTTATCTTGGGAGTGAGGACTTGCCATCAGATGCAGATACATGCCCAGGAAGCCTCCCTGGATTAGCACTAAACACCCCCTTACCTCCCCCACCCCCCCACATCTTTGCCTGGCCTTTGCATTTGCTCATCTGTGTAAATTAAGCGTGGTATACGTATGTGTGTGGGTATATATGTTTCTGTGCTTGTGTAGGTGCAAACAGGTTGTCTATGTACATCTGTGCTTGTGTGTAGGGATGTGTGTTACCATATGTGCTCACATATCAACAGCATGCAGGATCTCTAGTGGTTCCTCCTCCTCTTGGTCGCGCCCTCAGCCGCCTGGTCGGCGTTAGTGGGGGTAAGGGAGAGCCTTGCTTCGATGTAGGGAGATGAGGCTCAGAGCCCAGGCTCTGGCCGCGCCCAATTCAAGTTCCAAAGGACCAGCACCCACCCACCCAGCCGCCCGAACTCGCCGGGTCCCCAAGGTGACCCGTGGCCCCCAGCCCGAGCCGCGCGCAAGCTGGACGGCCCACCCCGCGGCACAGCCCCGCCCCGCCCGTTGCCGCTCACCGTGGGCCGCGACGCAGGCGGGGAGCCAGAGCACGAGACACCACCAGCCCGCGGCGCCGACGACCATCTCCAGGGCCCGGCCGGGCGCCGCGCTTCCTTCAGCCTCCCCGCCGCGCGTTGCTCGCCGGACTTCAGCCTGACAGCTGCCCCGGCCTCCCACCCCCAGGCCCGCTCCTGCCGCTGGTTGGCGAATGGGAACGAGGCCCACGGCTGATTGGCTCCGACGCCTGCTCTTCTAGCCACACTTTCTACCTCTGCGCCTTTCCCCACTTCCTACTGGTCGAGAGAAGTGGGGCCGAGGGCTGATTGGTCTAAACTCTTAACAGCAACTGCGGCCCCCACTCGGCCCCGCCCCAGCATTCCTCAGTTTGGATTGGACTCTGCGCGACCTCCAGGGATGGTGGGTGGGCTGGCAGGGGATGACCAGGAACGAGGTGGGCACCTGGCAGCACTCGCTTCAGCCGCCGAAAGTCCTGATCATCAGCTCTTGCGGTCTCGGCGGGATTCTCCCCGCGGCCGCCTCACGGCGTGATTTGCCTTCTCCCAGTTCGCTTTCCTCCTCCCCGACCCCCTCCTCGGAAAGATACGCATCTAGCGCCCCGGTGATCGCCGGCGCCCCTCCAGCTCGCCCCCTGCCCAGTCCCACCAGTGCTTGCGCGGCCCCAATGGAAGCGCCGAGGACGCGGCAGGTGCAGCCAACCCTCGAGGAGGCTCTGGCCAGTGCAGAGCCGGAAAGCGGACATTGGGACTCGGTGCCCACGACAGCTTCTCTACCACTTTCTGTGCAATTGTGGCTTTGGCTACCTTTCCTAAGCTCCCAGACTCAGCGTCCTCGTCTGTAAAATGTACGTGATAACAATACCAACGCAACAGGGTTGTGAGCATTAAATGAAAAAACTCATGTTAAGAGCTTACTTAGCATAAGCTTGCTCCACAGTCAGCGTTCAATAAATGTTTGCATTTATTTCATTCCTTGGTCTGGCGTCCAGGGCGAGGAGATAAGATGGAATTAAGGATAGTAGGTGTCGCGGGCCAAGCAAGGATCTTTCATGCTCAGGAAGAAAAAAAAAAAAGGGCACGACCAAAATGTGGCGAATCTTCCATAACCAAAGTTTCTTGCCAGAGAGCCCTCCGAGGCTCCGCCTCTAGCCTTTCTAGCCACACCGACTCTCTGCTAGCGAACCATAGAGTAACGGAAGTGACCCGTCCCCTTCCTCTACCGGTTTAACGCTGGTCGAACCTTCTGGGGACTTATCTGGCGCAGGGCATTGTGGGGTTGCTGGGCGGCCCGGAGGCAGAGCTAAGGAGAGGAGTACCGGGCCACAGAAGACGCTTCCAAAATGATGGTGAGTGGTGTCTCCCGTATCCTTCGCCATCCGCCGTCTTCAGCCGCCATCTGGCCCGTGGCTGGCGCCGACTGGCTGGCACCCGACCCATAGGGCTCTCCTCTGCCTGCTGATCCTGTCCTCCCCGGATCTCCTGCCTAGGGGCGACCCCGGCCCGCCGCGGCCTGGCTGGGCCCACGCACGGAGCCAGGGCCCTTGGCGAGTATTGAGGGGAGGCTGTGGTCGACCGGGTGGGGACTACAAGTCCCAGGGTGCTTCAGGGCAGCGGACCCGCGTCGGGGACCCGGCTTTTGGAGCCCCCCACAGTCGGGACCTGTGTTAAACTATTACGGGTTGAACAAACATAAGCAGTCGGTGGCCAGACCTGGAAGCCCCGGCTGCCTTAGGAAATGCGGGTGTGAAGAAGGTGTGCTTCCTGGAATGGGCAGAGCGCACGGTCTCAACGATGGTCTCATTGTACCCCACCCGCCAGTTGGTGCATAAATGGCAGCAGACCTCTGCTCGCACATTCACTCGTTCACTCGTTAAACACATGTTTAGTGCCTAGTGAATGTGCCCCGCTGGTTGTTGGGGTGCACACTTCTCGGCCAGGAGAATGGGCAGGGCAGATGGCGATGCTGCATCAGAGGTAGGAAGATTCCGCTCTATCTCCGACCCTGCCTGCGCCTCCGGATTTGACATTAGACCAGAGTTCTCTAGTTGGCCACCTAACGAGGGGCCTCTTTTCCTAGATGCAGGGTGTTGGTAAGTCCTGGGCTCCACACATGGCATCCCCTTCCCTTCATAGTTGCAGGTACTTTTCACCGGCCCTCACCCTCGGAGGCACCTCTTGAATCGCTGTTGAACAGGGCCAGCTTTTAAGGCGGTTGTTTTTCTTTGGTTTATTTGTGTGGATTTTCTTTGGGGTTTTTTAAATTTTGTTTTTCAATGATAGTTTACATTCAGTATTATTTTGTACTCGTTTCAGGTGTACAGCCTAGGGGTTTGACAATCATACACTTTACAAAGTGTTCCTGGTAGTTCCATTACCCACCTCACCCTGAGGAGGTGTTCGAGGCAAAGCCATGACTGAGAGGCCGCTTTCTATGCACTTGGCAGTTCACTCGTTTTGGCCTCCCCCTCGGAGTCAGTTCTTGTGCCCCCCGTTCCTGCACCTTCTCCCTGTCCTGTTAGATGTCAAACTGACACCCAGGAGGTGTTCATTCTGCTACCAAATGCCCTATGGATCCAAGCTAGAAGGAGCCTGGTATCATCCGTTCCCTTCTCCCCTTCTTACCTCCAGTCCGGCCCCTTTTCAGTCCCTCTTCAGCATTACCTATTCCCGAAGGCGTCTGCATCTTCTATGCGGAGGCAGCGTAGGAGGGCAGTGGAGAGTAAGGGCTCCCGCCATGCTGAAGGCCTAGGTTTGTAACTCAGCTCTGCCCCTTACTAGCTGTGTGACTTTGATTTTGAGCATGTTATTAAATTTCTGGCCCTCAGTCTGTTAGAGGGGGTTAAATTAACCAATACAAAGTGTCCAGCATGTAGTAAGCACTCAGCAAGTCTTAGCTATTCTGCTCGGTGGTTGCTTGCTTGCTTCTCCCTGTAACCCATCTTCCTGCCAAGGCAACCATGAGTTGGATCAAAACCAAGTTTTGTCTAGTGGTAAAAACCTACACCAAGGGGCTCCAGACCACCACAGTGGGTTTTTCTGTTTCCCTCCTATATTGGCTGCTTATGTGAATGGGAAACTTCCGTCACCAAAAATCCTCCTTGCTGTCATCGAATTAGTCCTTGATATTCTAGAAGCCTTCTCTGCTTGGAAGGGAGGTGAAAGGGTCCCCTGAAACCTTGGTACATCTTGGATAGAAAGTATTATCCTTGCCTTTGGTGTTGAGCACTGTAAGCTTTGGAATATAAAGGCCTGTTGTGGTTTTGTAGAACATCATGCTTAATAATTTTTAAGAAGGATGAACAGGAAGATCATTAAGCTGAAATTACCATTCCTTCCATGATACCCTTGGCAGATCACTGGATTCTGCAATTATTTCTCTACTTGAATAAAAATGAGTGAGATTAAAAAGTAACTTGGGGCCCAGCCGGTTTGGCTCAGTGGATAGAGCGTCGGCCTGCGGACTCAAGGGTCCCAGGTTCGATTCCGGTCAGGGGCATGTACGTTGGTTGCGGGCACATCCCCAGTGAGGGGTGTGCAGGAGGCAGCTGATCGATGTTTCTCTCTCATCTGTGTTTCTAACTCTCTCTCCCTCTCCCTTCCTCTCTGTAAAAAATCAATAAAATATATTAAAAACAAAAAAAAGTAACTTGGGGACAGCCCTGGCCAGGTGGCTCAATTAATTGGAGTTTTATCCTATACACCAAAAGGTTATGGGTTGGATCCCCAATAGGGGCACATACAGGAGGCAACTCATCAATGTTTCTCTCTCTAAGAATCAGTAAGCCCGGCCAGCATAGCTCAGTGGTCGAGCGTCAGCCTATGAACCAGGAGGTCACAGTTCAATTCCCAGTCAGAACACATGCCAGGTTTGTGGGCTCAATCCCTAGTGTGGAGAGTGCAGGAGACAGCCAATCAATCATTCTCATCATTGATGTTTCTATCTTTCCCTCTCCGTTCCTCTCTGAAATCAACAATATATATATAGAAAAAATAAAAACCAATAAAACATGTCCTCGGGTAAGGATTAAAAAAATAATAAATTGCTGTAAGAAAATTTGTGTCTTTCCAAAGATATAATATGTATTCCTGAGATGAAATGTCTTATTTTAAAAAGTAACCTGGGGACAGAGCAGGGCTTTCCATAGCAGTGCCTGCCCCTGGGGAAATGATGGAAGAGGACCCATCCTCTTGACCTGATTGGCTCAGTCTAGCTCTGCCACCTTTCCCTCCCCATAGGATCTCTACCCAGCCTGTCATTCTCTAGGGCCTGCAAACATGGGGCAGTTGGGGACAATGGCCAGCTCCTTCCCAGCCCTTCTTGCTTTGTTCTGAAGAATTCTCAGTGAATGCAATGCCAGCACACTGCCAATTCTTTCCCAAAAATAAGAAGCCAGTGTATCTTACTTCATCCTTACTTCAAGCACTTTTGAGCATGTGTATTTAACGGTTGAATTTTCAGCACCAAAAGCTGCTGAATATCATTCCATATGTGGCCAAACCTAGGCACACTACAAATTGAGATTATTATAGCTCTTACCTTTGGGAAGCTCATATTTTAAGAAAGGATAGCAGTTTAAAAGCTGCGCACAAGAGGAAGCAAAGGCAGAGTTAGGGGCTCCCCTGTTGAGGACTCCCATTAGCTGTTGAGAAAGCCTCCTGGAAGAATTGTGGCTGTGAAGAATTCCTGGGCTGATGTTTAAGAAAGTAGTATTGGTACAAGTGGCAAGTGGCTCTTGTAGATGGGGGTACAGTTTGGAGGTGGAGGTGAGAAAGGGTCCACAAAAGTGTTGGATAAGTTAACCTGTTGGGGGCATAGAAGAATCTGTTGAAGGCAATAGGAAGGGAGTTGAGACTCAAGTTGGTTTTTTATTTAAAGTTACGACTTCATCTGAGGCAGAGGTGGACCAGAGAAGATTTGAGGCTGCCATGAGGAATAATTAGCCGGGACTGGGAGAAGGTGGGGTTTTCAGGAGATACTTCTTTCCTTACAGAAGGTGCAAGGGCCCAAAAGAATGCTGAGTATAGAGAAACCATTTCTTGAGGTGAGACTTGGGACACTTCCATGAAAAGGAAGGAATTTTCCCTCCACCCTATGCCTGGTCCCAGATGTAGGGGGTTATCTAATAAGCATTCTTTTTTAAAAATAATAATAATAATGTGTGATAAGCATTAGAGAAAAGAAACAGAACAGCAAATATACAACTCAGTGTCAAAAACCTCTTTACTAACACTCTCTTTCTCTTTAGAGTTTGTTGGACATCTTTCCGGCTCCTTTATGCATTTACATTTTATATCTTGCCTCTTAACTATTTCCTACTGATTTTTTTTAAAAATGTAAATCAGGTTATGCCAGTCCTCTGCTGCAAGTCTTCCCAGGGCTCCCCTTTGTAGGAGCATAATTTAAGCTCCTTAGCACCGTCTACAAGTGAGTATGTG